TATGTCATACAAATCCCTATTTCTGATTAATCTCACAATAACAAAATTTTTATGAAACGATTGCTCACACTGAGCACTTGGTTTCTATCGTTGCCGTCCTCTTGCAATCAATCCTTAAATCTAAAATTCTCCTCGACATAGGTAGAGGAACTGCAGCATATTTGAAATACTGGTTTGTTTTTTGGAAATAAAATGCAATAAATTATTGGGAAATTGTTCAATTTTAATGATATAAGCATTAAAACAAAACAATAACCAGAAACCCCATCGAAAAATTTCTCAAAATAAAAACTCCAAAACCGTAAACTTACTTAGGGTGCAGGTAATTTGGAATATTTTTTTTTTGACAATTGAAGGGTATTCCGGAACAACATTCTAACCGACAGTTTGGTGAAAAGTTGGATTTCTGTAAAACAATGATCTATGTATCAATTCCCATGATCCGTCCCTTTTTCAAGCTGAGATTCACAAATGTAATCGGTGTGCAGACGTCAAAATGATTCAGCGGATCTTTATATCCGCGTAACAACGTTGTACGTATATATGTCCGCGCCAACTGGTCTCAACGAGTTTGTGTTTGAAACTGTCACAGCCCACGTGGTTTCCGTAAGATAAACGTTAGATATTCAGAGCGGAAAATGTTATATACAGGGTGGCGCGTCGAAAACGAAACAGATGCATTTACTGGCAGCTCAGTTTTTTTTGAAAAACGCTCAGACCAGTCGATTTTGTTTTCGAGGGGGACACAAGTTTGGCAAAAAATCACGTTAGCACTTGCAGCCCCCTAAGCGGGGGTGACACCACCCCCAAAATCTTAAATGGAAAGGGGGGTCGAGTGATACCTTTTTTTAAAGGTCTTTCAATCCCCTTTATAATGATATAAGATTAATGTACTTCGGCTCAGTAGTTTTGAGGATTTATTGATTTGAAGCTTAAATAAAACTAATACATCATCATTAGTGGAAATCAATACATTTGGCAGCAAAGTAATTTAAAAATGAAGAATGAACTGACCCGTTAGGCAAGTAAATGTTGAAAATGGCCACCATGACTCTCCATCCAATAATAAAGATTTTGCTCAAAACGTTGCCGCACATTTTGCAATATTTGAGGATTAATTTGAAGGCACTCATTCACAATTCTTTGTCGCAGGTCTTCTAATGATGTTGGCTGAGTAGCATAGATTTTGCTTTTAAAATGACCCCACATAAAGAAATCTAAAGGAGATAAATCTGACGAACTTCGAGGCCATTCAATGGCCCTCTTCTACCAATCCATCGATCTGGAAACGTCTGATCTAAATATTGTCGAACACGTAATACGTAACGTGGTGGGCACCATCCTGTTGGAACATCAACCTATTCGCAATGTACCGCCGATCATTCTGATTTTCAGTTATGGCTGATAATGCAGGATCTATGGCGTATTCCAGTAATTCCAAATACATTTCACCGGTTAAATTTCCAGGTAAGAAAAAGGACCAACTAAATGATCGCCAAAAATACCAGCCCAAACATTTAATTTTTGTGGCTGCTGTGTATGAACCTCATGATAAGTTCTGAAATAAAAATCGGACCAATATCGGCAGTTATGACGCTTTACTACGCCATTCAAAAAAAAGGAACATTCGTTGGAAAAGCAAGTGTTGAATAGAAAATGTTTATCGTTTATAATTCGTTCACTCATATCTTCACAAAATTGTAATCGCCGATCAAAATCGTCTTCATTAAGTTCTTGTACCAGGTGAATTTTATACGGATGAAAACTATGGGCCTTAAGAATCCGTTGGACAGTACATTGACTAACTTAACGTAGGATCTACATAAACTTGCCCTAAAACCCCCACTTCTATTGCTTCGTTCCTTATGGGATTTTCAATGTTGCGTTTTTTATTGGCGATTGACCCAGTTTACAGAAATTTAGGTGCAAGTTCTAGAACATATTTTCGATGCACGTTACTGTTCTCATGTCGCTCATTATACAGGGTGACTTCGAAGTTGAGTCATTTATTTTAACAGTGAGTAGATCTGATCAAAAGAAATGTTTTTTTCCTTTAACATTTTTCTGGAAAAATTAAATTAACAAAGTTATAGCCCTTTAGAAGTTTGAGTACCGCCCTGTCTCAATAATAATATTATAGGTATGCTCGTGTTTGGCGACAACGGATATAATCCGCCTGACCGGTTCATCGCATCGGAAACAAAAAAGCGAAAGAATTTGAAACGTTTATCACGATGTTTTTCGTCAGTCAGTAACGCGTAGTGGTGTTTGTTGCGTGGCTCAAACGAAATAAAAAATGGCACATGTTTACGAAAATGCTGAACTTGTGGACATGATTCTTATTTACGGGGGGGGAGTCTTTACAAAATGCTGCCGCGGCATCACGGATTTGTGCGAATCGGTTCCCCAATCGAGTGCAACCAACCCCTCGTGCCTTTGTTAATCTAGTACAAAGGGCTCATGAATCAGGTGACTTAAGACCTGCCGGTTCTCCAAGACCGCACGATCAAATACAGGTCCGCACTGAAATACTTGTCGGGAGGATACTTTATAAAACAAGGTAACATTTTTTTTTTAATTTTTTTTAATTTTTACACACATATTTTGGTTTATCTTCTACAATCATTATCTGAAAATTAATGACTCAACTTCAAAGTCACCCTGTATATTTCTGCTGTTCTATTAGCGCACTGATTATTTCAGAAAAATATTTCGATAATTTCAATTCTTTCTGCTATGGAATATACCATGGTTAATTTATGTAATAAAGCGTTACAAGTTATTTTAGCAACAAAGTTTGGTCAAATCAGTCGCAAACTATGTACTAAATTCCTATTTAAAAGAAGTACGAGATATTTCCTTATCTTTCTTCACGAAATAACTTTTTTACCACAAAAAAACGCTCCAATAGCTATTTTCAACAACAAAATGATAAACAAACCATGGACGTAGTGAAGAAAAGCATTTACTTATTAATTAAATTCTTTTAGTCAAATTTCTCCTAAAAGTAGTACAAATTAATCTGATGTACCTATTAAAGTCTACTTTAAGCTTTAAATCAATAAATCTTCAAAACTACTGAACTGAAGCTCATGTATGTTACATCATTATAAAGGGAATTGAATGACCTTTAAAATAAGGCATCACTCGGCCCCCATTTCCATTTAAGATTTTAGAGTTAGTGTCACCCTCGCCCTTCGTGTAAAATCACCCAAGTAAGGTGGTTGCAAATTTCTGCAGATGATGTAAATACTTTACGAGTAAGAAAGTCCTACAACACACTTCAACCCTGGTTTACTTTCTTGTTAAAGTCACGCAACAAATTAGTACAAGCAGTAGCCGTAAGAGATCTTAAAGAGGCAAACGTTGACCCATTAAGTGTAAATCAAGGTTGTAGATACCTTGTTTCGGTATAAAAACGTTGTAAGTGACATGTATATAGAACGTTGTTTTAGGGAATTTATTTTCTTAGCCTCTTAACCTATTATACAAGGTTTATGAAAAGATGTTGTATTCTTTAAATATTTTAACACGTTAAACGCCATGGAGGTCCCATGGAACCACTTGACAACGGCCCTATCCTTATGGACCGCGTTGTATTTCATTTATTTCCACGGTGACTTCTGCCAGAGGTCCATATTTAAATTCATTTTAGCGTTAGATATGGATCGCTGTGGCTTGCATGGATGATGCCCATATGCCAACTTATTGGTGTACTTTTGTTTGAAATAGGGTTATTCAATTTTTTGTAATTCACATCATTCATTTCCTACTAAATCTACACAACAAATTTTACAAAAACAAACAATATTCCAGTGAAAATGCATATATATATAAGTTATGATAGGGTAATATAAAATATAAGATAATTTCATTTATTTATGACATGTTCCGAAACAGTTAAAGCAAAAGTGGGGATTTCCCTCACAACTGTCACAATATGTAGTAACTTTTCTGATTTTATTTTTTGGTATTTCACCCCTTATTTTTTTTATTATAATATCCTTTACAATACCGTCTGACTTCATGTGATTTTCCTTCTTTTTTTTCAGTACATGTCGTTCCCGTCTTGTGTCAGTTTTTCACGTACATGGTAGATTAGACACATTATTTATTGGAAACATGCCTTTGGCCTGATAAAATTTTGCTTGGTGTTTAACATGTTAAGAGACCCATTAGTAAATAACCTACTTGTTTTCTTTTTTTTCTAATTTGAGAGTAAAACATAAAGAGCGTTTTTTTTTGTTTTTCTCAAAACTAAACTTATTGCGGTTATAACGTTATTCCGGCATACCCTTCAATTGTTTACACTTTTTCTTAGAAACTAATAAATTTCTCAACTTAGTAACCCTTTCAAAGTGAGAACGTTGCATTGCTTTAGCTGCTTGAGTTATTTCTGTGTAGGAGTATGTGGTTACGTTATAATATTGCTATAGTCATGGCAAGCGCTTTAAATAGTCTTCAACCAAACTTTGTATGTCGGAAGACTCAAAAGGGAAACCCCATTCTGAAGCCTTACAAATTGCTTTAACAAGGGCTTTTTCATCAGCATGTGGTGACGCAGTAGGATGACCCGGATTTTGGGGATGCAATTTGTTAATTTTTCTATATAAAGTCACATATGGTGTATTGTTCGCTGAGTTGCATTAAATTCTCTTTTTCATAACTTTGCACGGCATTATTCAAGTCCTCTTCACCATAATTCCGATAGGATCTACTCTCGACTTTTCTTTTGTAAGTCCTCACCATTTTCAAATAGCCCCTAAAATGATATTAAAATATAAAGTCGCCGCCACTGGCGTCAGAATTTAAAATAGGCCTAAGTTGAGGTCACATTCGTGATTAGGGATTAAAACAAGTAATAGGAACTCTGCAAATGGAAGTATTTAGGCCACAAAAAACAGTTTATTTTTGCAATATTTTTGGTTACATCTATACGACACCGTTAAACACAGAGTAAACATAAACAACCTTGATAAGTAGCGCCCAGGTATGTCTTGTCAGATGACTTCGGAATTTTGTTTATCGGAAGAACCGTTCGGTGGCAGCACTTGATTAATAAGTTGACGGCGTTCATTTTCACGTTACCCCGCTATTTTCAAGTAGCCCCGTTTTACGGTACTGCGACAAAAACAATAATCATTTATAAATTTAAAAAAAGCATTTGTATGTATCTCGATCAAGTTGCGATTATATGTCTTTTCATTTGAATGTTATGAACATAATTTTCGTATCCATTCTCAGATAAATCCACCAATACCAAATAACTGTTACATTTTAAGGCTAGTTATTTATGGTCTTGAATACCTTTATAGTCAGCTGGCCCAATAATGTTTACTAGTCCGATAAATTAAGCTATGTAATTATCGAAAAACTTACCGTATTCCACAAAAAAACACTCAAATAATGAACCACTTGATGGTACAGAGGAAGTACACGCTATCATAGTGAAAGTCATAGGTAGAATGGATGCCGGCAAACGGGTCGCCTCAGGCCGGCCTGCTATTATCCCATTGGTCGCTCGAGGTCACACGCACATGCGCCTTGCTCGAAAATATTTAATGAATATTTTTTAAATATTCGAGATTTAATATTTTCCATTGATTGAAAAGTGAATATTTAATGAACATTATAAAAGAAATATTGTATTTAAAATATTTAAAAGATATTGATTAAATATTTAATAAAAATATTATATCACAAATATTTATTGAATATTTGTTTAAGAGAACAAATTCTTAAGTAAGATAAAAATATAATTAAATATTTAATAAATATTTCGTGCTATCGGGGACGGTGGTCCTCGTCACTATGTTCTTTCGGTTCGGCAATGGCTAGACGACGAATTTCCAGATAAATCGATAGGGCGAAGTAGGCCTCTCCTGATTTCACGACATTATACTTTTGTCTATGGGGTCATTTGAAATCTAATGTGTTTACTGCCCCACCTTGAAGTTTGGATGACCTTAGTCAACGCATCATCGAATGCTGCCATGATATGCCACAACATGTTTTTGAAAATGTGCGTGAGGAGTTTGAATATCGCCTATATAATTATTTGGCCACTAACGGGCAACATTTCGAACACTTATTGACATAAAAAGTGATATTATCGTATATTTTTGACGTCAATCTGAACAGATTAACATAAATAAAGATTTTTCTAATTTTCTTGGAAACGAATCAAACATCAAAATAAAGGACTTCGAAAGAACTTTAATACAAGCTATTACACGATGCCCGTTGTCATTTAATATTTTTAAGATGATGACCCTGGGGGGCCGAGGGTGAAGTAGTTTCTGGATAAAAAGGTGTCCCCCTTGATAAATCGGTGGTGATTACTTTTCAAATGAACACCCTGTATATTATATTCCAAAATTCTAGGAAATGACATGAGCCGATTTAATTTTGTCAAAAAAATTTCCCGTCAGTTGATAGATGATCATTTACGAGAAAGATGGCAGAAGCCGGTCAGTAGGGATGTAAAATGTTCAGTTTCTCGAGTCCTGGGTATGACGAATGAAGTACAGAATGCAGCTGATGAGCGACTAGCAACCGGAAAATACTACTACGTATGTCTTCCTAACCTGAGAGGAAAGAGTGCATACAGTTGCATTAAATGCAAGAAGCCCCTCTATCTACAGTACTTCCGAAAGTGTAGCACCGTGAGAGATGATCACGTAGACTAGAGACTTTTCAGATTTTTTTGTTATTTTGTTGTGAATCTTATTTCTGTGTTTTTGCGTTTGTTAAAGTCAAAGAAATGTAAGTCTTGGTTCAAAAGTTGCTTTTGATCTTGGAGGGGGAAATTAACGACTACCAGAAACGTTCAGTATAATGACCTTTATCATTTTTTGTTGTTGGCAAGACTAGTGTTGCTACAACTGACGATAAGGTAATTGGAAATACATTTCACGACCCATAAATGCTACTGCCGACCTTCATTTATTTTTTTTATGTTCTTTTCTCCAAATTTTTAAACCTCGGAGACTCACTGTCCGTGATTACGTTACAAAAATTTATGTCCGTGGTTATCAGTCACAATAATCAAAATCAGTATTTAGCCTGAACTTATAGTTTAGTGTTCTCCATCTTACAACAATCACAGATATACACACCGGACTTTCCCATCTCTTTCTTTTCTTGTTCACTTTCGGTATGGCAAACTAACAACATGACATCTCAACATACTCCATGAAATTCCATGTCTCATTTTCAGTTATTCGAAATATATTCACAAAATCAAAATTAAACTAACAAGGACACATAACAGTTCAAATAATTGCAATGAAGATTTTACGCATCATACTAAATGATTATCAATGTTTGCATTCTTACCAAAAAAGTTTTCAAAACAGACGTGCAGCTGGTAGCAGAAAATGTCAAGATAACTGTTTTTAGTACCTGTGGTTTCATGTGATTTACGACATTATATTTATGGCAAAAAAATACATATGGTGTTTACATTTATTTAGATAACTAAGTATTCCAAGTTACCTGCAGTATTTCAAATATACTGCACTTCCTGTACAGAGAAGGCAGAGAAAGCTATAGTACGAAAGCCTATGTTCTTACTCAGATACTATAAAAGCCGTCCCAAAATTATCTTATGGCATTTGTCGATAAACAAATGAATGCTGTTATTCTGAAAAGATCGTATAAATGAATGATATTAGATCCAATAATAGGCCAGGAGGCACTTCGCGGAATGTGTATCGATATATTTTGTAGTGGCTGTAACCCTTGGTTGACATTTCACCTCGTTCTCATCATAAGATCAAAAGCTACAGAACATTAAAATGCTAGCATAGACAAACGCATATAGAATGGTTTGCTTGTATAGTCTTAGAAAATCCGTTTTCTTTGTCGGGATATGTCAGTTGCTTAACATGGGTAAATTCAACCGAATCTTGATTTTTGTGCGCGTTTCAACTTGCCTGTCTGTAGACTCTCTATTGCTTCTTTCGGGCTTAGAAGCCGTGGGCTGGAGTTTGCATTTCTAAAGATTTCGGCTACAACTGCGGTAGCCATCTTTAATGGCGCTGCAATCAAAGTCTAACGGACTGCCCTCTGGACATTCGTCATAGCGAATAATTGCGCGGTAAGAACGGCAAAGCGTCCAACGACTGAAATAAACGCATAGAAATATACTTATCAAGCCACGCGCAGCGGCGTATGGCAGTGAAACAGAGGCATGAATCAGTACGGCGCATGCCACAGAGGGAAGCGGCAGTCGCGGCGAGTAGTGCAGTGATCAAAACAGTTTAGTTTTTTTCGCCACGAAAAATGAACACCGAGGCTTTTCTCACTGAAATACTTGCAATTTGGAAGAATGGCCATCCACAGCACCCAAATAAATAACATAATCATTGTGAAGTATTTTAATTTCATGAAATATTAATTTTTCAATTAGCTAACCACAGCATAGTCCCGAAAATAATTGGTTATGAAAAAATTCCGTTTGCGACTATATGTTTTTTGTGAAATGTTGTTCATACTGATGGGTACTAACATTCCACAAAATATGCTCAGCTATGAAATGTCATCGTTCATATAAATAGGTACATACCTTAGTGAAAAAAACAATTTTTCAGCGGCACTTGAAATTCTCCCTGCATTGACTTTTTTCCCACTCTGGTTGAATATTAATTAGAATATTGTAGAGTTTTTCTGGGTACTTCTTTGTGTGGATTGAAACACTGGATTCCACAAAAATAAATGCAGTAATTTATTTTTATTGACTAGATATAACGTTTATGTACATAACTATTTATGTCTAACTTATTCTTATGTCGCGCCATGGACTGCACTATGCTCCACTCTGCTCTACTCTACTGTAGTCTGTACTCTGCTTCCATCTCCCGGCCCTCGAGTTATACATAGTCCCCATCGCTGCTTCGAGAAATGTCTGGCGAGCCACAAAACGGCATCTAGAATATTCGCGTCGATCCAGAAGGCGAGTCACTGGTACGGTCCTCAACAGACGTCCCCAAGCGGCTTATGCGGTCGTGGTCCGCGTAAAAGCAGAGATCGGCCATGAAGCTCTGGCGAGTAGGAGAGTCTCCCAACAGGTGGCACTAACAGTACTATTTGTTATCGGCACAATTTAATCGAATGTTTCGATACTAATTCTGGTATGCTGGAAACATCTTTCTGGATACATTCTGTATTTCTCGTACTTGCTGTGGAATTCTCCATCTGCACCTGGATTCCGACTCCTACTCAAATCATGTACGTCACAATCTCTTCCAAATATTATGTGTTGAGCCAAAAAACTATTACTTTCTAAGCAATATCGAAATAACGTTGATAAAGACCTATACTGGTCGCGGCGGCGAACGTGACTGCCCGTGGCCTGCAAACTGTGCCGCGAGGAGGTCGCCCCGCTTCCCGCATGGTCGTTCGCGCAGCCCATCCCCGTGGCCAAGCCGATGTGGCGTGGGTGGCCAGACTTCCAAATAGCTGGCCTAGCAAGTATTTCAATAATAAATGCCTCGGAGTTCATTCTTCGCGGCGTAAAAAATAAACACGTTAGATCACCGCACTATTCGCCGCGACTTCCACTTGACTCTGTGGCTTGCGCCGTACTGGTTCGTGCCTTTGTTTCATTGACCCGTCGCGCCGCCAGTCGCCCGCGCAATTCGTTGGGGAGATTTCGCCGGTCGCTTCACCATTCGCCGCTGCACATTTCTATGCGTTTATTTCAGTCGCTGTTCGCTTCACCGTTGAACTGCATGAATATTCGTTATGCCGAATGTCCTGTGGCCGGGCGACAAGCATTCGCCGTGGTGGCTCGTTGACAACTAATACCGTCTTTCTTTTTTATGAGGGGGGAATGCGTTTACGCACCATACCATAGCCCGAGCTACGGCGTGTGTGGGACTCCAGGTTGTCTTGAGGAGACCACCTAATACCCACTAAACCCTAACCTCCGCGTGGCCCGACTCATCAGCGTCTCGGTAGGCCATGTGTTGTGCGTGACTTGCGGTCTGCTACAACGTCTCCTCATGTGTTTCAGTCTCTGGGAACGCCGGGTTGGTTCCCTTTATCTCGCACATTCTATCGATGTCGTTAAGCGATCATCGATAGAGGGTCTGCTAGGTTCTCTTGAAACTCTTGTTTTCGAAAAATCAAGAGTTTCAAGTCCTCTTACCTATATATTGTTCCTGGTCCTGGTCCTGAAGGGTCCTGGTCCTGGTGGGTCCTGGTCGTGGCGGGTCCTGGTCCTGGTTGGTCCTGGTCCTGGAGGGTCCTGGTCCCGGTGGGTCCTGGTCCTCTGCATCCACGCCGTGGAGGGGGAAGGGGAGAGCAACCGCGGGTAGTCCTAGTCAAGGTTCCAGTTAGCATCTGCCAACTGTAACTTGGGTCTAGGGTACCTGGTTCTGTGTTCTGCGTACCTGTCCGGATCGTAGTCCATGAGGAATCGTAGCTGCTCGTTCGGGTGGTCCTGAGCTTTCTGGAAGGTCTTCTCCGCTTTTTTCCTCATGTACTCGTGAATGGTGTCCCAATGCAGGTCTCTACGCAAGGTTGAGTTTCTTACGTAGGATGGTGCATTGGTGGCGATCCGGAGTAGCTTCATCTCTAGAGCAGCAAGTCGCTTGCGGTAGCTGGGAGCAGCGTACCCCCAGACCGCGGAGGCGTAAGCGAGCTGAG